AAAAATGTTCTGGATACAAAGAAGAGTATGATACAGTATGATACAGTGAGCTAAAATAGGGATGGGGATAGGGATAGGCACAGGCGGGTACAAGAAGTGCTATGGAGGGTGATGGGAAATCATGAGAGCTTTCATGGACAAGATGGCCCCAATGTCAATGTCATTGTTGTCTGTGTGCCCTTATGCAAGTTAATTCACTTCTGAGTCTCAGTTTCTTCAGCTGGAAAAAGAAGGGGCTGAATTAAGTGATCTAAGTTTTCTTTCTGCTTTGATTCTATGACCATATAATGATTCTATTCCTGAAATAAACATGGTTCTGTCTTTTTGGAGGCTGAAGAGGAAGGAGGGAATAACCAATATTTTTGCTAGCAGATTTGTTGATGGGTGTGGATTATCTGGTCCTACTCTGGGCTCTGTAATAAACATTCAGTGATAATCATACACAGTCTTAGGTATACTAATAGAGAACATCCAAAGTACCTTTAATTAACATAAAGCCAGTCACAGAGCTCTGCCTATCCCTTTAGTTCCTTTTCTCAGACACTCAAGAGATGTAAAAATGGTAAAGAACAGCTTTTAATAAAAGCTCCATAAAAAGAAAAGAGAAAACAAAACCAAACACCACCACCAAAATAAAACAAAATTTTAAATAAAAACAGTTGAGCTCACTTGGTGATTCTAAATATATTTATTTTTTTTGTGCGTGACAACTTCTTCATGGGGCAACTATAGTTACATCCAAACATGAAAATGAACATGCATGGAATTTGGAGTACTTGCTCTATATGTTTAAAAGGTATACTAGTGAAAAGAGAAGGCCAGTGTCTCCATTAGAAGGCTGTTGTCTTACAACTGAGGAGGTAAAGGCTGATAATCTCATGCTTGCAAGCCTGAAATCCCTCTTACGGATTTCATAAGATTAACATTTGGAAACATAAGAAGCCCTCTGAAGAGTGATGGAGGTGAGTGCAGGGTTTATCCTTGGCTTCCTTCTACTTTCACATTCTAAATCTTGTATAACACCATTTGCAACATGAATAAAATATTACTGATTCATATTACAGACTGTATTTCATATCTGATTTTTATTTCTCTGTAGGTTTTACGAATATCAATTAGTAAAGAAGAACTTTCTTTAGTTGAAACTCTGGGAAGATTTACAGACACACAGACATTTAATGTATTAACCATACTACATGAGAAATTACACATGAGTAAGGCTGTGTGGGTCAGTCGACAGAGAGGCAGCGTTGGAGTCAGGAAGACATTAAATCCAAATCCTATCTCTGATATGCCCTCGAGTGGTGACCCTTGGAAATCCAGTTAATATTTTTCCCCCATGGTGAGGCAATCGGGGTGAAGTGACTTGCCCAGGGTCACACAGCTAGTGGGTATCATGTGTCTGAGGCCACATGTGAACTCAAGTCCTTCTGACTCCAGGGCGCCACCCAGCTGCCCCAATCCAGTTAATTTTTCAATGTTCTGGGCGACTGTCTTAAGCTGTAAGCAGTAGAAAAGTAGGTAAACAGCACTGGTAGTGAGTTTCTTCCTAGAAGTTACATGCACTGATGAAATCTGAGGTCCACTCAACTGTCACTATATTTAACACTAAAAAATAGGGTTTGCATAAAATTTAGGGCTTAGAGATCCCTTTGCTAATTTGCATCATTTAACAGATGGGAAAAACTGAGGCCTAGGAAGAAGAAAGTAATTGCCATAAAGATAATAAGCAGGAAAAGTCATAAAGTCATACAGATAATAAGCAGCAGAGTCAGGATTCAAACTGAGACACTCTGATTCCAGACCTATCGTTCTTTCAGCAAAGACATGATTCCTGCTATTGTATATGTTCCTTCGAAGGCCAGTATCCAACTATTTTTAACAACCTAAAAAAAAACCCAAATCACTCCAAGACCTTCCGCAAAGCAGCACTGCGCCAGAAGTGCAAAACCTTTTGCTCTACTAGGTCTATCTTATCTACTACTCATTTCTAATGTCAATCAAATTCCCTAAAATTAATTTATGATTCATTATCATTTTTCCCTATCACCCAGAGGGATAATACATGGAAGGCAGATTAAAAGTCCACATTATTGGATATAAAGATAAATGAATTTCTGTGATTCCCAGCAGAAAAGTTAATTTTCAGTCCCATGGTAACAACCAAAAACAAAACAAGTCAAATTGCTAATAGCCCTTGTGGCCTCTGGCCACAAACATAACCTTTGTGTTCCTATTCATTACACTCCTCTACCCCATAATTGCCTCACCCCTTTGGTCTTTTTTCTTTCTCCTCCCTTTGACTTTTTGTCTTCTTTGTAACCTTTCACTCTCCCTCCACTAATCGATTTTCTTTCCTGCCTTTTTTTTAAACACACTCACTATTCCCCTGCCTTTTTTCTAGGGTCAAATTCCATGTCCTTTTACTCATCTATCTTTTCTTATTTTCTTTAAATATTTACATTTCCTTCATACGATGGCTATCAATACTATTCCATGAAATTGATTTTTGGTATTTGAGTATTTTGTTTTTGTCTCATTGACCTAATCCCTTCTGCCCCACTTTTCCAAAACTCTTTTAAGTTCTTGTTTTCCATACACTATCCTTTTTGTGGCATTTCCTACTCTCCTTTCCTCTCGCTTCTCCAACATCATGTTCCCTGTTTAGAAGATGGCCTCAGAACCAGAGAAAAAGCCTATGTTTAAGACCCACCTCTAATATATACTTGCCGTGCGACACAGGTGAAGTCATTTACTCTTGCAGTGTTCCAGGAAACTATAAAACTATAAGTTTGAGAACTTGTACTTACCCTCACCTTACAGCATGTTTCTTTGCCCACAGAGTTTGCTACACCACTGAAGTCACAAGTCCTTATCTTTCTGTGGGGGTGGGGATGTTCTCATTTTAAAATTTTGCTTCTTACATGTATTTCTCCAAATTTTGTGCAGCAGACCGAACAGATGATTAGATGTTTACCCACAGGTGTGTAGGTGTGGGTGCCATGAATATATGTACGAGAGTGGTGGTTACTCTTTTTGCTGTGGCAAAGAATTGGAAATTGAGGGGATGCCCATCAACTGGGGAATGGCTGGCTGTACTATAAGAAATGATGAGCAGGCTGAATTCAGAAAAACCTGGAAAGACTTGTATGGACTGATGCTGAGTAAAGCGCGCAGAACCAGGAGAACGTTGTACGTAGTAACAGCCATGTTGTGCGATGACTAATATGGATAAACTTAGCCCTTCTCAGCAATTCAAGGATCTAAGACATCTCCAAAAGCTTCGTGATGGAAAATGCTATCCACAAAGAAGAAAGAACTATGGAGTTTGAATGCAGATCTAAGCATACTGTTTGCCATTTTTTTTCTTCTGTTGTGTTTTGTTTCCTTATTCTGATGGTTCCTCCTATTGGTTCTAATTCTTCCTTACAACATCACTAATGTGAAAATATGTTTAATAGGAATGTATATGTATAGCCTATACCAGAGTGTGAGCCATCTTGGGGAGGGAGGTGAGGAGGGAGGGGGAAAAAAACTTAAAACTCAAATGCTTATGGAAGTGATTGTTGATAAATCAAAATAAATTACGAGAAAAAAAGAAAAAAGAGAGAGTGGGTGGTTAAAGATGGGCTAATGTGTCAGTTAATAAGCTTACATATATTGAACTGTCACTGCAGATGGAATAGGTGAAAATCTCCGAGAATGCAAAAGAATGACCTTTAAAACCTTAAGTTCAACTTGGAAGAGCGTGTATGGATGACGTGACTATCCATCCATAATATTTCAGAGTTAGGGTGGATCTGAGAGCTCATCAGCTCCAACCCCTGTCTGAAATGCTAATTTCTTCTTGATGTAATTATGAAGGTCTTTAAAAACTGGAAAACCCAGAGATCTGAAGATAGATGGTCCTAAACAACTTCACCCAATGATTCTGTCCATGATGATCTCCAAGCAGAGGCTTGAATAATGGCTCCTACTGGCCTTCCAGGTCCTTGGTCTGGATAGGAACTATCCAGGCAAAGTGATTTCTCTAATACTAAAGGCCAGGGTGCAAGAGACCCTAAAGGCCAGTCTCCCTAAAATAATTCCCTCCTCCAAGCTACAAAGAAGAAGGTTTGTCCTCCTTGAGTGGAAATTCTGACTAAGATACCATTACTAGTTAAGTCCCAGAACTCCTATGATAGCTGGGGTTGGAGGAAGGATTAGGAGGTGAGTAGGGCTTTACCAGGCTCTGTTGTCAAAAAGGACCATGAATCAAATTCTTACCTAGCTTCCAGTCAGAGAGAGAGATAGGCATGATATGGCTGAGGCTTCTTTAGGGGACTGACAGATGGAAAGAGAACCTCTTAATTTCGACAGGAATTTCTAACTTCAAATAGACAAATCTGAACGATATAAAGCTTGGTCACAAAGGAATGAAAAAAAGAAAAATGCGAAAGCTGATTAAATTACCAAATTTTCATGCATGAGTAATAACATAAACAAAATTTCTCATAGAAACTGCAACACACACCAGTCAGCCACGTATCCAAGCAAATAACATCTGCACTGTACATGTTAAAAGTATGACAGTAGAACTCAGCTGTCATAATTAATACCTGAGTTTCCAAATGTGCATGAAGCTAAGGCTTGCCCAAGAGGGTGCCGCACATTTCTATTTACTTTTACATCACCAAATGAAGCTAATTTTTTTTCTCATTGTTTAGCAACACCATATTAGGACACAGGAATCATTCACATAAATATTAACTATTCTCTTTTCTGAAACTGAAGGAAATTCATATTTTTTTAAAAGAGAGCTGGGAATAAGCAGGCCTAAGGATCAGAGTTACTCCTATCTGTTTCTTTTTATTTGGTCCAGAGATGTGGTTTCATTAGCGTGGGGAACTGTCAGTGTAGAAACTTCCTCCACCTCTGTAATTTAGAATCATAGAAAGTTTCCTGGGGCACCAACTTGGCCCTGTTCACTTGACCAATATAAGCCAGAGCTAGATCCTTACCCCATATCTTTCTGACTCCAAGGCCGGGCCTCCATCCACTATACTGCACATCTTTTCTATCCTTTCTTCTATCACCGAAATTCTTTTTCTTTCTTCATTTTCATTAGCATAGTATTTCCTCCCAAGAAAGAGAATGCTCTCATTAATAATTTTTGTTATTGGTATTGGGATAAAGGCAGGGGGCAGAGGGTTGAGGTTAAACACTTCTGTGACCGGAGACATGGTTCCCATGATATAAAATTCCTCTACCTTTTCTATTTGATCTGAGTTGAAAAACTAAATTAGCTATAAAATAAATAAAAGAACCCAGCTTATTTGAATACTTTTCTTTTTAACATCAGTCTCTTTATTTTCACTCAACATATAGTTAATTTTCAATAACCTATGCTAATGAAGAAGACTGCCAGCACAGGCAATATCAATCTACAGATAATATAAAACTTTTTAATATTTGATTTTGAAATATATTACATGACTTCGGCAGATTTACCATCAAAATTGCATTTTTCTCGGCTAATATCAGAATTCATTTCTGTTTCCTAGACAAAACTTATGCAGGGTGAGGTGTCCCCAGTACATTCAGGACGACAGATGATAACTGATAAACTTGCTGCAGATAAACCATAAAATACATAATTGACATGTAGATAAGCAAGGAGTTGACTGTGATATTGCATATAATAGTTGTTGAAAACCATATGTGGTTAATTTAAAACTACGAATCACTGTAATTTTATGGTGCTATGGAAGAATTCCTCTTTTTAATCAATAACAGAACAGTGACTTTAAAAAAGGAACTAGGTAACTTTTTTTTAAAGATATCACAAAATCACAGAACTTGAATGTTGGAATGGACCTCAGCGGCCATCTACTCCAACCTCCACACAAAAGGAATCCTGTTATAATTATTGTGCAATCATGTCCCACCCCATTTGGGGTTTTCTTGGCAAGGGCAACTGGAATGGTTTGCTATTTCCTTCTCCAGCTCATTTTACAGATGAGGAACTAAGGCAAATAGGGTTAAGTGACTTATCCAGAGTCACACAGCTAGGAAGTGCCTGAGACCAGATTTGAACTCATGAAGACAAGTTTTCCTGATACTAAACCCAGTGCTATATCCGTTGCACCACCTAGCTTCCCTATAATATATCTGACAAATGGTCATCTCGCCTTTGCTTAAAGACTTCTAAGGAAGGGGGAATGCATCATCTCGCATAGTAGCCCATTACACTTTTCCACATCTCTAATTGTTAGGCATTCTTTCCCCTGGCTTTAAGTCAAAGTTTACCTCTTTGCAACTTTTCTCTCTTGCTCCTGATGCCAGGAGCACATAAAGGGATATCTTTATGATCAACGCTTTATTAACCTTGAGGGGATTATGCACTTTGAGAACTGTCCTCTGTGACTTACAGACTTGTTAACTCTGACAGCCAGTCTGGTTCTGAGTGTTTAACAAGAGGACCAAGCCAAGATCCACATCTGGGAGACTTGCCTGGGTCAGTACCAAATATGAACAATGGAGTAACTATTAGTGTTTCAGTATATATAGATACAGCTGAATTTGTTTCTGCATTCTGATTTCTAATAAACAGGGGCTGTGATTTTTCTGCTGTTTTAAGCTAACTGTGCCTGTTAAGTTAATTCTGCTTTAAATCTTAGAATGAGTGGGTAAGAGTTGACTGTAATTTATCTGTGCCATGGCACCCATAGAGATCTGGGTTAAGTACCTCAAATGATGCTTACTATTACTTTAACTTACATAAAATGACAGAGATAGTATGTTATAAAATAAACTATACCATATACTATACAATCATATGTGACAATATGATCATATTCCATTTCAGTAGGTGGTTTTGAAAAGGTCTGACGGATTGGTAGTTCAGTCATAAGTATATCAACTAGAACATAATAACAAAGTAAAGTGGCGGGTGAAGGATGCTATGGATGGAGAGTTTCTGCACTGAAGGTTGGACTATACAACCTGAATATTAATGTAATTGAACTCAAATAAATTAAACATTTATTAGGTACTTATTATGCATCAGGCACTTTGGGAGATACAAAGGTGGTCATTATCCCTGATTTCAAAAAGATCATTCCAACTTGAAGTATCCATGATTCAGAGTCCACATAAACTGCAGTGTTTGTCATTGGTGGTGAGAGTATCATCTTATCAAAAACCAACTGAAATTTGGCAATTGGAGTCCTTTTACTTCACAATAGATGTTACTGGGAAAAACTTACATGAACTCAATATGTAAAGAAAAATTTATTAGATAAACAATAATTATCTGAATTTTCCTGTGTAGATTATATTTAATATCTTTAATATTAGAGAGTAGGTCTATCGACACCAAGACAATTTTCTTTTTGCTTTTCTATTTGGAATTAATTTCAGCATTTGGATGAATTTAGAATTAATCAGCACTTGGCACAGTGGCTGGCACTTAATAAATGTTGACTGACTGAATTTCTTCCTACTCGGGAAGCAAAATAGTATTTTCCTGGTCTTCAGGAACTTATGTTTGGTTATAAATATGTTGCTAAATCCTATCATGGCTTCATGGAATAGTAAGTGACAAACAACAACAAAAAATATGGTAGAAAATGGGAAAAGACTCAAATGACATACAGCTTATGGTGTGTGGCACCTGTCTGTAACTTTTCTTAATCTTCACAATGCAGAGGATAATATCACAGGGCTTAATGAAGAAGGGAATCAGGTTTTTGCAGGTGCCTGTAGCAAGCCGACTATTCCCAGATCATGTTTACTTAGCAATATATGTGTGCATATGTATGTATCTAAATATTCCAGTGCCCTTTGGGAGCTGAACATCAATAATCTTCCTTACCAACAACACAGCAGGATAAGGTATGGACCGCTGCTACATCCTCGGTATGGATGTAGTCCCTGACCCATAAACTTTGTGCTCACTGGGATCTATCTTACAGAATTACAGAATCATACATTTAGAGTCGGAAGGTACCTTATAAGTTATTGGGTCTAACGTCTTTATCTTCCAGGTGAGGGAAATGAAGCTGTAAGAGGTTAAATGATTTGCCTGTTTAGCTTTCAGTTCAGAAACAGCCTAAAGGGGGAGGGGAGGGAAGGAAAGGGGAAAGGAAGAGGAGGGAGCAGCTGCAGCAATGGCTACCATATAAGGAAGGGACAGAGGAAGGAAGGGAGGAGAGTGAGACATGCAAAAACTGGAGATATGTACAATAATACAAAATTTTAACCTTTCTTCTTGGTGTACTGAATTCCATCTTTAAAAAAGTCTTAGTACTTAGCATTAAACTCCATGATTCATAAATGTGAAAACAGAATAATCTAAGACAAAAAGCTGATTTAGAATAAATGATTGAATTAAAATCATTGACAAGGGCTCAGCAATTCCTTAGTTAGTGAGTAGGCACTAGGATCTAAGAAATACCACAGGGCATTTCAGGCATGCTTGGTTACTTCAGGAAGAGATGCTACATGATTCATCTTGATTCTGCTATAATGAGTAGATAAAATAAAAAAGAGAGAAAGAAAAAAGACCTATCAAACACTCAGTCAAAAAGCATTTATTAAGTGCTTATGGTAGGCAACAAAAGTACTCTGCTAAAACCTCAAAAGAGGCCAGAGATAGCAAAACCTGTCTCCCCGAAACCTAAACATGTTACAGTTGTCCTTTCCCCTGCTCATATTAGATTTCTGTGTCTCAGGAGGCACACTGTTTGATCTGCAGCATGTCCATGTGAATGGGTCATATTAAAAAGGAGTTTCACTGAGTGCTACTCATAGTTTCAGCAAATTATGGAGCCTTCTAGCATTAATGTTGCAAAGAAGATGCATTTTAAATCAGACTAACATTAGTGAAGGTACAGGAAAAAATGTGCTTATTCATTCACATGTGGCCCTTTCTTTGCAAAAATAATACCAATGACTCAATTTAAAATTGCTTTTCTGGTAGGTAATAGTACTGTACTAAGTTATCTACATGTGTAAAAATATTAATGTCTTTTTGGAGTCATAGAATCGTTTCTGAGTCTCTGTTCATGAATATGCCCATCCACATTTTTTTTTAAATTGGCTAGTCAGAGGAGGATGACTATGAAGTGGACAGGGGAGGATGATACTGGAGGAAGACGACAAAAATGATGATAATGATGGAGATGGAAGGCACTCTGTACATGTATTGTTGCTTTATGCTTTATATAAAGTACTTTTAAATTCATTACCTCATTTCACAAAATAACAGGATGCTTATGCTATAAGCCTCCCTAGTAATAATCTAATACAATCATCTCATTTTATAACAAAGAAAATGAAGCTATCAGAAAAGTAACTTGCTATCAGAAGCTATTAGAGAAGTCACATAGAAAACAAGCAATAAATCCTTGACTTGAATCCAGGAGTTTTGATTCTAAGTCCAATGATCTTTGATCCTCACCACCAGCTTGTAAAACTAGGCAGGGCATGTATTAATACCCCCATTTTATAAGAGATAAAATTGGGCCAAAAGTTTAAATAACTACCTCAAGGTCACAAAGATATTAAGTACCGGAGAGAGGACTTGATTCTTGGTTCAAATGGCCCTTGCAACATGTTTATCTATCCTCTGCATTCCTGACATAGTCACTTTCTGACAAAGTTCTGCTCACCAACCACTTCTTTCTTGTTGGTCAAAATCAAGTCCAGGATGGCAGTCTCTATCGTTACTCCCTCTACCCTGAGGGTGATGAAATAGTCAGCAAGGTAAATCAAGAAGTGATCTATCGTTCTGCTTTTGTGTTTTAACAATAATACTTTAATTATATCTCCCCTTAGAGTGATTCTAAATGCTACATGAACCCTAACTCATTGACCTTCACAACAGCCCTGTGGAGTCAGGGCCTAGACCTATTGGGTTCACTTTTATTGTAGTCATCTCTCCACTGTTCTTCTCTCAGTAGGGAGTGATTTAATCTGTGGTACAGACAGAGATATTCTGGAAGACACTTTCTTGTAACCACCTGATAAATTATATCATCTTCCCCAAACACATTCCCTAAGCAAACAATTGTGTGTCTTAGATATTAGGAGTCATTTAGAGACTTCTTTCATAAAAT